GAGAAGTTCTATGTCCTTAATACTAGGTGATGATGGAACCCCCTACTATCAATTTTAGAGATAAGAGGAAAGTCTTAATCTCATTCATGTCCCAATCCCGGACAAAACTAAATATGAGCATTGATTGAAATCTTTGGACATTAACATCCTAGTTGTTTAATTTTTGGAAAAATTGCTTCTAGGCCCCAAAATTCAAGTTTCAATGTGCCCCAGCCCCTCACATTTTTTTAATGTGTTGCAGCCCCTTTTTTCGAAAAAAATTGTGTCCAGGGTCCTCTATCATGATTCCAGCTTATGATTAGACATGTCAGCTCATTATTAGACATGCCAGCTCCTAAAATCCTAATTTTACCCTTTCTCTTTCCCATGCCATCTCATCCCAACTCATGTTAACTGTTATAGATAATATGTTAACTAATATAATTTCATAAATATGTTTTGAGCTTAATGTGTGAATTGTAATAGTTAACATGTTACCTATAATAGTTAACATGTTAACTATAATAGTTAACATGAGACGAGAAGTTCCTCGGGACAGCGCCGACGGCGGAGTAGGGGAGGGAGGTGGGGGAGGGGGACCGGAAGAGGAGGAGGGAGGTGTAGGGGGAGGTAGAGATGGTAAAATCAGGATTTTGGAGGATGTTGCATTGGAACTTGGGGAGAGGGGTCTGGACACAATTTTTTTAAATTATAAGGGCTGCAGCACATTAGATGGAGTTGGGGGGGGGCACATTGAAACTTGAATTTAGGGGCATTGAAGCAATTTTTCCTTAATTTTTATTTGATTTGTAAAGGAGATTGATGGCTAAGCTATTTAATTTTGAATTTCAAACTTTATATTGTAATTTATTTAGGGAAAATATGTCCATGCCCCAAAATGAGAAAGTTCATGTGACCCGCCTCCTTGTATTTTGACTCATGCGATTTAGCCCCAAAAAGTACCAATTAATATTTCAAGACCCCTCCACGTCAGCAGTATAAAAAAAGAGATTGTATTTTAAAAAAAACCCGAAATTACCCCTCCACTTATCTTCCCCAGACGTCTGTTCCACAAAATACATGGAAAGTCACGCCCATTACTGTGATCTGATAGAAAAAAATAGAGGGAAATTTCCCGCCTTTTTTGAACTCTATCATGAGCAATAACTCATGTTAGTTCTAAGTTATTTAATGTTAGTTCTAACTTATTTTATGTTAGTTCTAACTTAGTTATATTTCATGTTAGAGCTATTGTTAAGTAGAACTAATATAAATACTTTAGGCTATTTGGTCTAGTGGTAATCCTTATTTTATATTAGTTCTAACTTATTTTACGTTAGTTCTAACTTCGTTCTAATTTATGTTAGAGCTAACTTTAAGTAGAACTAATATGTTTATACCATGTTATAATGGCTATGTTAGTTCTAGTTGAGCTCATGTTAGTTTTGGTGGTTCTCGTGTTAGTTCTAGCTGATTTCATGTTAGTTCTACTTCCAGCTAGTGTTGGTTCTAATATAAGCGTTAGTTCTAGTGGTTATATTAGTTCTAGTTGAGCTCCTGTTAGAACTGACACGATACCTGTTAGAATTGATACTAGAGAAGCTAGAACTAACACATCATCAAGTAGAACTAATATGGCGTTTAGACCTAACAATTACGCTAGAACTAACGACTTAAATAAATTATAACTAACACAATACCAGTTAGAACTAACACTGGAGAGCTAGAACTAACACATCATTAAGTAGAACTAACATGACGTTTAGACCCAACAATTATGTAGAACTAACGACTTAAATAAATTACAACTAACATGATACCAAATAGAACTAACACTAGAGAAGGTAGAACTAACACGACATAAATTAGAATTAACATCGCGTTTAGACCCAACACTTACGCTAGAACTAACACATTAAATAAATTAGAACTAACACGATACCAAATAGAACTAACACTAGAGAAGCTAGAACTAACACATCATCAAATAGAACTAACATGGTGTTTAGACCAACAAGTACGCTAGAAATAACGCATTATATAAATTAGAGCTAACACGATACCAGTTAGAACTAACACTGGAGAAGGTAGAACTAATATAGCATAAATTAGAACTAACATGACGTTTAGACCCAACACTTACGCTAGAAATATCACATTAAATAAATTAGAACTAACATGATACATGTTAGAACTGACACTGGAGAAGCTAGAACTAACACATCATCAAGTAGAACTAACATGGCGTTTAGAACCAACAATTACGCTAGAACTAACGACTTAAATAAATTAGAACTAACATGATACCTGTTAGAACTGACACTGGAGGAGCTAGAACTAACACATCATCAAGTAGAACTAACATGGCGTTTAGAACCAATATTTACGCTAGAACTAACTCATTAAATAAATTAGAACTAACACGAGCTGGTAAAAATTAGAACTAACATGAGCTGATAAAAATTAGAACTAACATGAGCTGGTAAAAATTAGAACTAACATGAGTTGCGATAGAACAAACATGAGCTAACTCTAGTTATTTATGCCATTTTTTAAATTCTATCATGAGCTAACTCATGCTAGTTCTAACTTATTTCATGTTAGTTCTAATGGCAAGTAAGAGCTAACTTTAAGTGGAACTAGCATTAATACTTTGGCTACTTGGTCTAGTGGTAAAGCTTGGTAATTTGGAGAGGAGGTCAAGAGTTCAAACCCCTACACCTACAATATATATTTAAAAGTCTTTGATTGATTGGGTCTTGGGCCTTGGAACTCTTGGGCTCTTTGTTAGTTCTAACTAATTTTATGTTGGTTCCAACTTGCTCTTTGTTAGTTCTAACTTACTTAAAGTTAGTTCTAACTTGCTCTTTGTTAGTTCTAACTCACTTAAAGTTAGTTCTAATTTGCTCTTTGTTAGTTCTAACTCACTTAAAGTTAGTTCTAATTTGCTCTTTGTTAGTTCTAACTTGCTCTTTGTTAGTTCTAACTCACTTAAAGTTAGTTCTAACTTGCTCTTTGTTAGTTCTAACTCACTTAAAGTTAGTTCTAACTTGCTCTTTGTTAGTTCTAGTTCTAATTCATGTTAGTTCTAACTCGTTCTTTGTCTAACCCATTGCATGTTAGTTCTAGTTCTAATTCATGTTAGTTCTAACCCACTGCATGTTAGTTCTAGTTCTAATTCATGTTAGTTTTAGGCTCTTGTGCTCTTTGTTAGTTCTAACTCATTTTATGTTGATTGTAACTCACTTCATGTTAGTTCTAGTTCTAATTCATGTAGTTACTTTCACCAACATAAAATCTATAGACAATTGGGAGTACACAAGCTCATACCTGATATAGTTACTTTCACCGTCCTTCTCAAGGGAATGGCTGTGCAGGGAATGTTGAAGGAAGCAGCAATAATTTTCTTTTAAATACTAAGGAGGGGATTTATGCCAGATGCCGTAGCATACTGCAGTTTGGTCGATTGCTTGTGCAAGCATAGCAATCTAATTGCTGAGTTTAAACTTTATAGAATGATGCTTAAAAATGGTGTTCATCCTGATATTATTGTTTATAATGTTATCATAAAGAAGGTAGAACGGACAGAACTAACATGGCAGCGAACAGAACTAACGAAGGAGATAACAGAACTACCATGAAAACGGGTAGAACTAACGTAAGAGATGACGGAACTAACATGAAAGCTGGTAGAACTAACAGTCCAGTCCTTAGAACTAACAGTCCAGCCTTTAGAACTAACAGTTCAGCCCTTAGAACTAACATTCCAGCCCTTAGAACTAACATGACAGCCCTTAGAATAAACATTCATAGTTCTAATTTTCCTTGTCCCCACTTTCAAATTCACAGGTTCTTAGATTCTTTAGTCGACTTTTAATCACATTGTCTTCAATTTTTAGCTAAATGTCGATATGCCTGAAGATTCAATGTGAGCTTTTGAAAATTTCTGCTATTAATCTCTTATACAAAACTCTGTCAATCACCAAATCACACAAGAAAAAGGCATTAAAGGAAAACCCAAACTGCTGTTCAAGAATCCAAGGAGATCCCATTTCAATTAAATGAAAGAGAAAAACTACAAAAACCCAATATCGATTCCCTTCATAAATTACAAGAAAACAAGAGCACTATCTTGATTAAGACATTGATTTTGGTAAAGATATTCCGTAACTTAGAAAGGGGAGAACAACGATGCATCGGACCAAAGCTCCGGGCTCCGTTAGCTCGCGGGTCCCACCGGACCATGTTCCGTGTTTGTCGTTGAACCCGCGTTCACGAGCTGTTTCCAAGATGACTCCCCAACCTTCGACTCCATGACCACCGTCCTCGCCTTCGCCTTCCAGGAGAGAGAGAGAGAGAGAGAGAGAGAGAGAGAGAGAGAGAGATGAGATGGGGTTAAAGGGATGAGCACAGTTACCAAGCTCAATCAAACCAAAGGGTAAATTTGTAACTTTTGTTGGGCTTTTCTCAGGGTCCGATACTTTGGGGCCTTAACACAAATACAGTGTGTATTTGGGGCTTATACACATAGGCCAGAATACAAGGGGGCGGGTCACATGAACTTTCTACTTTTAGGGCCTAGACACATTTTCCCATTTATTTAAGATAAACACTATCATTCAAACTATCTACTTTAACTGATTAAAAAACTCTATTATCATCTTCTCATAATAAAGAGATTATCATTGCCTTTTCTTTCATAAGCATTGAATTTGTTAGTTAATAGATGATATGTAAGTTATAATCTAAAAAAATATAATTAATTATATCTCTTATTACACTAAGATACCATAACATATTCGAAAGGCGTATAAATAAATATATATAAACTAAATAAATCAAAACTAACCCTTGTGAGTATGGGATTAATACTTGTATATTTTTTTATATCAAATGCTTAAACTTTTTACCTCCCAGCCAATGCAGCGGATGAGTCCGTTGTACTTGTGATGTACAGGACTACAATGATATTGGGCCTTAGTTGGCCTGGCCCATGTTACCTCTCAACAGCAAACAGTCAACAGTAAAACCTATTATCAAAGCGAGCAGTGAAGAAGAGATTTGAGAAGACGAATGTGAGCAAATCAAAGAGGACTGGTATCATGCTTCGAAGAGCGATTATTGGATTCTTAGTCGTCGGATTTCTCTTCATTGCTTTCTCAATCTCTCAGAAGCGAAAAGCTCAGGTTTCTCTCTCTATCCTTTACCTTTCTTTCGCATTCGATGCAAAATGATTCCACTTGGGGGTTTTAATTTCTGGGTCTCCTTAATTTTGACCCTGTTCTCAAGATCTCAAGTGGGTTTTTCTCATGATCTAACAAAGGCAGTTAATTTTTTCCAAAATTTGAAAGAATGAATTAGTTTGAGTTCATGTATGAACTTCCAAAAGATATACGTGTAGGAGCCAATGTGCGAATATTAAGAAAGAGGGGTTACTGGTGCTTTGAAAATTAGTAAACTGAGAGCAAGAACAAGGAGAATGTTGAGGTGGTGATTGTAAAGTAATTGTGATGAGCCTTTTTGGGCTGTTGATGTTGGTGTTTTGCGTTCATATATCTTTCATAGGAATAATTAGTAATGTTATGCTGTAAGTGTAAGGTAAGGATCTCCCAACTGTTTTTGAGGTGCTATATATGTAGGTACGTGAATGTGCGGGCATGCATACATACATATGCACATGTATTTGTGTACGTATTTACGTATATATGTATGTACTAAGGTAGGTAGGTATGCAAGTGTAATGATTTATATTCAAAGAGCAGTTTTCGGAGGATTTGGTCTTGAATTTGAATGTCACCATCCTTAATTAGAGATACGATGAAAATCTTATATTTTTTGTGTTGTAGTTTCAGGTCTCTAAAGAATTACATGATTCTTTACTTTTGGGTTTTCTCTAATCAAAGTTGTTTAAATACCCAAACCAACTTTTTGAGGGGACTCGGTCATATTATAGTAACTCTGAAAATTATCATATGACACAGAATAATATTTTAATTTTACTATTTATCTGAGATCTATATCTTAATGAAAGATTTATTAGAGAATGAAAGTTGTTGAGCTCATGGAGGTTTAGTTCACGCCCCGCTACCACAATACACACACAAAGTGTAACTCAGTGGGCAGTGTATGCACAAGGACCAAACAACATCCACATGCAGACACCTACGAGTCTCAATCAATATAACTAGAACATGCACAACCAAATACACAATAATCATATATATATATCCGTATATCAGCATGAATGAACACCAGAAGCAAGGCTTAGATGTCTCAACAAGATAAAGAGATAACAGAGTTAGGACAGTGGCCATGAGAAAATTAACAAGGCATCTCTAAATTGGAGCGTAGTGTCAAATGTCCCATAGCCACTAGGGAATATAGCAGTCTTAGCAGATATCCAAATGTAAAAGATGTACATAGGTAAAAGGATAAAGGGATAAGCGTAAGGCATTTGTAAGTGTTACTTGAGCTCTGCTGCTCCTGCAAATAAAGGTGATACTGTAGTGTAGTCTCAAGATCTGAATTTGGACAAGTAATTCTAGGTCTCGCAGCAAGCTAACAACCAAGCAGTAAAATGAAGGAAGATAAGCATGCACATATATAGAAGATGCAATATGATATACATGAGCATGGCTTGGATATGCAGCAATAGATATGTAGTGAGCAACGTTCGTGTGAACAATATCATAAAAGAGCAAGTTTGCACAATAGAGTCATTAATACTAGTAAATTATAAACCTAAGCATGTGATAGGTGTAATGATGTCAAGTGTGTTCATCATATTTCATGAGTCTTGTTTGGAAAGTAATGACAATATTACCTAAATCAAGATCAAGGCAAAGCAACAAGAGGTAATGAACAAGTGGTGGATTTGATAAATATGGTAATCACTAAGCCCATATCTCACTTGAGCTTGTTGGAAATACTCCTCTTTATCAATCCCCCTTTATTACTCATATATGATCATTTTATCAGATCATAACACTTGAAATGTTGCTCACTAGTTTTCAGATGGTTTTCATGCAATATTCATGGATCAGATGTAGATGAACTCAATCATCGACCATCTAGTGATCACCCACTTCATCTCATAATGTCACCCATGCTTGGAACTCTAAAACGATATGTGGTCGTGAATCTCAAATGAAGACATGTTATGACTTGATACAACTTATACCAACAATCAGTTGGTCTGAAGTACCTCAATAGCTATTGTACCACAAAATATCAATTTGTTTCCAGTTATCACATCTCAATTGCACAATGCCACAATCAATCATAGTGAAGATGTTTCCTTCTTACTAGACATGTACCCCATCAATAAATCTCAAGTTCATGTCAGTAAGGACATACCTGACATTCTCATGTTACCGCTTGTAATCATGTACAGTCACACGTAGTGCGCACCTTACGTGTTATTAAGGTAAGATTATCATTTACTAGGTTGTCAGCAAGTATAATCATGCTACAATGTGGCACATATAGGAAAATGTGTATGATCACATCATGTGAAGGATGTATAATTAACAAGAATGTGATCTAGTGTGTAGTCATGTTGCCAACAAGTAGGCAGGTATAAACTGTCTGTAAAAGCAATATAAGACACAGATCAACATGAGCAATTTTCACTGTGTATCGTTGAGAACAATGAAATAGTCGAATGTCTTAGACTTTTCTTGCTTCTCTGAGATGAATAGCAAAGGAACTTACTGATTGTACTTTAACAGATGCTGAGTGTCAGCATTCCATGTCTGTTGAAGCACTCAGCAAATGTCTATAGCTCCGTGCTTCTTTATGAATACTATGAAAATCAATATTCTGACTTTGTTTAAGCAGACTCAAAGAGTTGAGGGTCTTTGTCTATCGAATACCCAAAGACGCAGCAGGTTGTTGTTCATGTACATAGAAAACTGATGTTTAGGCAAAGACTTAAGAGACTATTGTTTGTGTCTATCAGCCAAAAAACAGACACTTCTTGTACTAATAATTAAGCATTTTAGAATTACATCAATGATCAAGAATAAGATATTTTCAGTGTAATTCAAGTCATTTGTGTGGTTTGACAATGGATCTTCATGTTTTGAGCATAATAATAGTACTATGAAACAAGAACAATGATCTGGTCTCAACAAGTAATCAATCCAATCCTCATCAAAATCGAATCTCCATTGCATCTATCATACATAAACAGATCTACATCAAAATATATCAATTTGAATATCAAAACTGATAGATTCAAGATTTGGGGACCATGATTATGAAATTCATGGACAATCTCATCTGAAACCCTCAAGATTCATAAAACAATATTGAAAACAACTAAAATCAATTAATCTGTCATGAATTTATCACCGTCAACAAGAAAGAAGGATCATATATTAGATGATAAAGTTATGATGATTCTAGTATATGAATGAACTGGAATCACTGAATTGATCTAATAAACTCACAATCCAAAACTACAACAAGTAATTGAGCATAAACTTACAATCTAATAGAGAATACTACTAAGAAACCATCGATTGGAAAAGGAATTGATCAGCTACTTGAGAAAAAGAAGGCAATAATTCACATGCTTCTACATAGATCTCTTGAAGATCCCCAATTCTCATCTTTTCCTTCACAAATAACCGTGAGCTAAAAGAAAAGGTTTGAACTAGGTCAAATGGCCTTATTTTCATAGGATAAACTAATAACAATTTGTGTGGGCCTCACACTTGGCCAACTAGAGTTGAAAATTCAAATTGCTCATGAAATTCTCCAAACTCTCCAATGGGGATCATTCTCTTATATTGGACAAAGTCAAATTTCAAATGTAGATTGGTCAAAGAAACAAGAAACTGTTTTAGATCATATAGAAATGCATCCAAGTGGCTACATTCAACGATTTACGACATATGGTGTGTATACATAATATATAATTTAGGCTATTACAAAACTTTTCTAGAAAGAGGAGATCGAGGAGATGTGAGAATCTGTTTTGCATTTCCATTACATGATTCCTCAACCTTACCCTCTGCACGTATATTTTCCTATTGCTTTTCTTTATTTTTGTTAGTTGTACAGTTGCAAACTGTATCTATCTTTTGGTAATTTGTGTGCGTGTGCACATGCGTCTGTTAATCTTTGGAAAACTTTTTCTAAGGCATGCTCCAAAGCACACGTAATTCAAGGGTAACCACCTTGAAGTATAGAAGAAAAGCGATTTTTACCTAAAAAAATAAACCTCACCAGTTGAAGCATAACTGAAGTGTGTGTTTTTAATCTCATTATGTGCTTCTATCTTGAATCTTACACTTTAAAATTAGGACATAATTTTAGGAAATGATTTTTTTATTAAACTAAAATATTTCCATATTTATTCGTCTTCTTTTTGTCGAACTTCAAGGCGTCCCTACTTCTTTTTATTGAAATTGAAAAAAATAGTCATCCTATGTAATTCTGTAATTCTGTCATAGGTCTGATACTTCTACTCTTAATGAGCATTTATTTTTACTATGATGCTACCTTAACTTGTTTGTCTGACAACTCTAAATTTTAGATTGATTTCATGTTTCTTTGTGCAACTGAATGTGTGTTATATTCATTTCTAGTGTAACTGTATCGGTGGTATATTCATTTCTAAGAGTCAATCTCAATCTTTTCTCTTCCATAAATTTATATGTATTTCTGTAAATTTAGATTGAGTTATAAGCGTGCTATCATAGCATAGCTACACCCTGGACATCGATATCCTGGTGTGAGGTTTTCTGTTAACTATTATTATTATTATTATTATTATTATTATTATTATTATTATTATTATTATTATTATTACTACTATTATTATAGCATCGACTAGATGGTGCACCCATCTTTGATTAGGCATTTTCTAGATCACGGTTATTTTTCATACTTTTACGAAAGTCGATACACGGTAACCTTGTGGTTAGTGACTTATTATTATTATTATTATTATTATTATTATTATTATTATTATTACTACTATTATTATAGCATCGACTAGATGGTGCACCCATCTTTGATTAGGCATTTTCTAGATCACGGTTATTTTTCATACTTTTACGAAAGTCGATACACGGTAACCTTGTGGTTAGTGACTTAGTGCATAACATTTCATGCACAATCACTTTAATAAATTGATAAATATAGGGTTTAACAAAGGGAAATTGGATGGAGAATATAAAGTGTATATAAGCGCATACCTAATACCCTGAGTTATATATATAAAGGGCCAAAGGCCAATACTTGACTTGAAGTCATGTTCTCGTGATGTTTTACGAGAAAAATGACTTATATACATAAAAACATTCCCCCTCTAATTCAAATAACAAATAATAAAGCATAATATGCTTGTGTGTTTTGTGGTAGTGATTATCTTGATATCTATAGTTAGTATCCATTTTAGTCACCTTTAATTTATGTTTCATTTCTTCTTTTATATCTATCACATACACCTACACGTGCACAATTTCTTATTTTTACATGCTTGTTCATTTTCTTATGTGGAATATTGAGTGAATATAGTATCTAAATTTAATTTTTTAATAAGAAACTGTAAAGTTATGCCATATGTCTTCAACGTAGCCATGCAGTATAGAAAATAGACATATTGCAGATGTAGCATAGTTTATTGTAAACAGTCAACATTTATCCTATTCCAACCCTTTCCATGTCTAAAAGACCTGAATATAGTTATTACCACTATATATAATACACTTATTTATAAAGTTTAAAGTCAATATAATTAATTTATGAGCCTTACGCCTCACGTTTAGAAACTTATGCCTCTATAAAATTTCTAAAGCTTCGCCTTCCACTTTTCTAAAAGAAAAAGAGAAGAAATCTACTTTGTCATTAATGAAATGTTTAGGCATATATTTTGCCATTTCCTTCCACAAATATTTAACCTGATCAAAGGCTAAAACTAGTGCATATATTTAGCTAAAAGTAGGGGGTAGCTATGGATAAAAGTAAACATGTTTGCACTTTATGTTGTTACCTTTATATGAAGCAAGAATAAGGTTAACTTATTTATCTAAATGGGTAGACTAAAGTAGGAGTTTTTAACCCATTTGCCTAAATAAATAGGCCTAGCTCTGGTATGTCTGACATGCCACTCCTTTGTCGGAGGAATTATGCTACATATTGTAGGGGCAAACTAAAGTAAGGATAAAATTATGTTATCTTGCCCATTTACTCATATAAACCCCAACAATTGTTAAAAAAATTTATAGATTTTCCCCTTATTTTACGCTAGTTTCTAATCATTTAATCTTGCAATCTCTATGATCTACTTCTTTTATTCTTTTACATTCTAGAAATATTTTTTGTTATTAGTGAAATTAAGGAGCTTGAAACTTTGTCAAGGCTTTTATGTTTTGGGTTATGGGTTAGTGGATTTTACTAGATCTAATTTTAGTAGGTACATTAATTTGGACAAGGTCGTTGGTCTTCTGCTTCTCTTATTAGTATTTCACTTGTTTGTGAATTTTACTCGATCTAATTTTAGTAGGTACATTAATTTGGACAAGATCGTTGGTCTTCTGCTTCTCTTATTAGTATTTCACATGTTTAATCTAGAGAGTGAAGAAAAAAAATTCTTGCATCCTCTTAAGGTAGGGTGATTGTATATATAGCTTACCCGATATGGTGACCATTCTTAGCCAGGCAAAGAGCAATGACACCCTACAAAAACACAAACCTTCTTGTTAACAAACCCATTTCTCGGTTACATGATATAGAACGTAACTGGGATTTCCAATTTTTCGTGGTATTAAGGGTTGGATTTTGAACTTCTATAGAACTATAAATCTTGTAGGCATGTCATGCTTGCATGCTTACGGACGTCATTCTTAAATTTTAGCCGTGAGAGATCATTATCATGTTCATCAAAGACTTTTGTCATCAACACGGGTTGGTTATGGAGTAAGGTTCTATAAAAGATTGATAAAATTTTATAACTCGATGTAGTGACAACACTCAATTAGTGCCAATTTCTGTCTTAAGAAATTTATGAACTTAAAGAGTGGATTTCAATCGGCAAGTGTCCTCCAATTTCTTAGACTAGAAAAGGTCTACAGGTAGGCGAAAGATGATAGATTTTCTATAAATAATAGATTTAGTTTAAGTCTTTGAGATGGACTAGAGGCCAACAACGAAGCAGAACACAAGTCAAAACTATAAGACTTATGATGTTATAATGAGTATGGTCATCTTCTTTTAGCACCATTAACCGCTAAATGAGGAAAAACTCCATTGTGGCTAGCGATTAATGAAACATTTTGCATTGTACCTATGTCTTAAATCTTTCAATGGCTCTGTAAGTTTGGTTTTAAAGGAAAGCATGCAAATTATCATGTTACAATTTTCATTATCTACTTTTAGAAGTTAATAATCTTTTTAGGTTCCTCTACAGTTGTATGAACCATGATGTCATGACTATTAGTAGACTGTCTTTCTATAATTTGTTGCAAAATCTTATGTAATATTGTTGGAATTTCATGTTTTCCTTTTCCATGTTGATTTTAGTAGGACAATCTTCTAATTATCCTTGATCAAAAACATTATGAGGTTTTAATGCTTGCCCAACACTTTGGTCATTCTAGAAATAGAAAGCACAATGTGTGAATACAGCTTCCTATATAATTTTTATATCTTTGTGGGTAGTGAGCTAGGCGAGTTACACTGTGTTGCATTGTTTTAAATATCCCCGACATGACCCGATATATCCCCCGATATATCCTGTTACAGGGCTTACCGCAACCGATATGGTCTTTAAATATCCTTTACCACTTTTTGGCTATTTTGAGTGATAAATCCCCGATATGACCGATATATTAGCCGATATGTGGACTAATATATCTTTTTATATAGTTTGTTGCAAAATATTATACCGTGTTTGGAATTTTTGGGCGAGATATCAAGATTTTCCCATTATATCAAATGATATTTTGCCCTAAAAAAAGCAGATCCAATGTTGCAACGCTGCTTTGCACTTTTGTTTGTTTTAGAAGGTTGATTAGTGATCCTAAACATATATTATTCATATTTTGTATACTTAAATTTAATTACATATGTTGAGATTACATTTTAATGTATTATACTATGTATGCAAACATTCATTATGGCATTCCGATATTTATCACATAACCCCGATATTTCCCCGATATCCGCAATCCGATATGAATTTTGGCCATCCGATATTTCCCCGAGATCCGATATTTAAAACCTTGCTGTGTTGATGTTATGCCTGAGCGACATAATCTAGAGATCTACTAATATGAAACCAAAGTTTGGCATGAATTATTTGATCTTGGTTCTAGAGCATGCTTGACTCTAAGCTTGGTGGATGAAGCTTAGTTTGGATTAGATTGAACTTTAATAATTTGGTTAGGATTTCTAGAAAGAGATGATATTCGACAATGAAACAAAGAAATATTCAATAATGTCTATTTTGGAACTCTTAAAGGATTAGATGGAAGAATATAATGGTAAGAAAGAGATTTTTGATAGATTATAAGGGTTAACGAGTGATGAAATGACTAATAGTTTCAAAAGCTACATGTGCTAGGGAAACACAATTTGGCATCCATGCAAGCTTATTTGACCAATTATCTTCGTAACTTCTATGAGATGGAGGCTAGCTTATCCTATGATGTCCACTTACATAATTGTCGTGACGTAAGACTTTATTTTAATAGAAATGAATGTGCAATTGTACAATGTGTAAATCTGCTTTACTGTTTGCATGTACACTGCATTAAAACTAAGTAATACATCTCCCGTAATACATCTTCCCAGCAAAAAAGTAATATTATGGATAAAAAATACAACATAAAGTCATACAAGTGAATACTAAAAACACAATTGGCTTTTTAAAAGAGATAAATCAGCGATAATTGGCTTCACCCCCTTCTTGCATTATATATAAAGACGAGAGAGATCATATGACATGTTTATCACATGCAGATTTTTGCACATTTACCATGGACTTAAATGCTTTGGCTACTTTGGATTGAAAATCAATTGGTTGTTTATTTTTCTTTTATATTCTACATTATGTGCTGTTTTTGTTCATACTCTGTAGTTAACACTATATATTAATTGATATCTAAAAAATCAAAGCTTATTCCTCAGAAAAAGGAAATAAAAGGAAAGGGCATTTTTATTCAGTTTTTCCGCTTTTATAGTAAGAATGATAATGAGATATAAATTATGTACTTCCATGAGTGTGAAGCTACTAATGTTTTTGGTGGGATGCTAATGTATAATTGAATCTTTCTTTCATTTTTTTATCATAGCACCTCATTTACAAAGTTTTAGCATAAAGTATAGATGTAATATTTCTTAAAAAAAATAAAAATCACATTTCTTGAAATATTGTATCATAATTTGCTTTATTTTCTTAGGGGGGATTTGAAGCGGAAAAAATTCATGAAATCACACACAGAGTTTACTTGGATGTTGATATTGATGGACAACATATAGGTATGTAGTAATGTAGTATGTCAATTTTTTTACTAACATGTGGTATGTTAGCTTTAATTTGTTGAATTCAGATCTAGAACTAGTCAGATTTTGAGCATAACATCAAATATTTGTCATACCTTAATTTTCCAAAAAGATTATCCATCTCTTTTCACTTGATCCATCTTTTTTATTTCTCAGATAGCATATACATGATGTGATCATCATGCAAATATTAGGACTTTTTCTAACAGAAATAAAGTAAGAGACTGTAGTCATAATGTTTGAAAATGTAGTGTCCAGTTTATTTTCAACCCGATTAATGTTAGGATATGTGAAATATTATTTCTACCATAGAACCCAAAAGTTGAAGGCCTTTGAATTATAACTTATTATATGCTTTAATCGATATATTTTCTTTTCAAAATATTCTCAACACATAAATAATTCACCCTATAGGTTGTTGCACATTACATCTTTTTAGAAAAAAAAATCATGATTGTTCCTTGGTTTTTCTTCTATTTCTTAATCATCTAAAGTCATGTGATATCTATTATCTGTAGTTGTGTTTCTTGATAAGCAGAAACTATATGGATATGTGTGATATTTATTATAAATAATTATGCTTCCTGATAAGCAGAAACTATACGAATATATGTAAAAAGATAGTTGTGATGATATTACAATCCTACATAAATGCATTGAAGCCTATCATTCATTAAGAATAAGTCAGCTAGCTAGTTTAATGGATTGTCCTTTGTATCAATACATGTGATCAAGTTGTGGTGCTTGTGCTGAAGATAGAGATAAAGACCAGAGCAAACAATGACACATGCAAGTTTCTCGATGTAAAGATTACCAACACGAAGGAAAGTTAATGGACCGGGGGCATGATTATGGTACATTGTGATCACCTAACAAGGAACAAGGAAATCGAGATTGGCATCACCCATGAACTCCAATCTCTCGTCAGTGATCTCTGGCTTAAATAGATAGTCGAAAGAGGAGTGAGCTAGTGTCTCTTCTAGCAATCAGCAGCCTTCAAAATAATCTCCCAAAACCTCCTCAATCTTCTTTATGTTTTCTTTCGTTCCAATCACATTGGCCATCTTATAGTCTCTTAGGTCAAACCATTTTTTTAACGACAATTATGATCCTATCCAATTATCCAGTCAGGTTATTTAGAAAATAATAACATTGTATCTCGACAAGAGAATTAGTACATAGATACATGACATAGAAAGTAGGGATACCTCTCCAAATGAAACAAACAAAAAAGAAATATTTCAGTTGAATAAACTCTAAAAATATTAAGCAATCTCTAAAAAATCCATAAGAAAAATTATTACAATAAAAATAGAGAAATCACCAAGTAGTAAACGCAAGAGCTCCTCTCTAAGGCAATGCAGGGAGCTATGCTCCCTTATAAGCAATGGAGCATATGCTTTGTATTATACAAAGAAAGTGTTTTATAGCCTTTCTGCTATCTTCTCTTTGCTTTGTTAAAGCACTAGCAACAGAGAATTTTTTATATCTTTAATGTGACCTACTTTTTACATATCACCAACCTACCATGAATTTTTCAGTTGAAACCGGAAAAATGCAAACACAAGACAAAAGAGAGAAAAAAACAATATTTCTTTAGTTAAGCTAACAAAAAAGAAAGAAAAAACAACATTTTTCAGTTCAGGCCATAAAATAAATGAATAACAATTAAGTAACTCATAAAAAAATATCTACTTTCTCCACTTAAACTAAAATATCAAAAGAAAAGGAATTTGTTTGTAAAAACAAATCACACAATAGAAATAAGAAAAATTGTAACTTTTTCTCGGGTTCTACCGTAAATTTCTTGATTGAGCATTTGAACAAACGAGGGTTGCTCGTAATAATATTAAACTTGGTAACCGGTCATGTGAATAAAGTTTGAACTAAGATTGAGGAAGTCCTTAAAGAGATTTAGTACTTTTGTCATCAGATATAAATTTATCCCCAGTACTTTCAGAATCTTTGTTTTGATAATAGACTAGCGGTTAATTGAGAAAATCATGTGACCTTCTCAGGTCAAATCGATTCCTTACAGCATTCACGTACCTGTGAAGTTATTCAAATAGATTACTTAGAAAATAATAAAAATGACTAATATGTTAACTGTGGAGAATTAGTGCATAAATACATGACATAGAAAGCGGGAAATCCTCTTAAATATGGGAAGTGTTGTTATCTATCATGTGACCACTAAAATATTGAGAAATCTAAAAAAAAATCCATAACAAAAATTGCTACAACACGAAGAGAAAAATCATTGGGTGGCAAATGAAAAGGCTCCTCTCACTAAGATACTACAGAGAGCTATTCTTCCTTGTAAGGGGTGGAGCCTATGTGTTATACAAAACATGGGCTTTATAACTACCACCACCCCCCCTCCCGCGCTTTGCTATAACACTAGCAATAGAGAATTTGTTTATTATCTATCATGTGACCTATTTTTAACATATTACAAACCTACCATGACTTTTTGAATTGAAGCCAAAAAATTTAACAATAAGAAAACATAAACCTAGAAAAAAGAAAGAAAACAAACAATATTTTTGAGTTAAGACCAACAAATAAATAAATAAAAATCAAGCAACTCATAAAACATACATAATCTACTCACTCAAAGCAAACCCCAAAAGAAAGAGGAGTTGATTGCAAGAAATACACCAAGGAAATAAGAAAATCACAATTTTTTCTTAGATTCTATGATGAATTACTAGGTCGGGCACCTAAACAAATGACAGATGCTCATAATGATATTGAACTTGGTACGAGATCATGTGAATAATGTTTGAACTAAGATATGAGGAAGTCCTTCAGAGATTTAGTACTTTTGGCATCAAATATAAAATTTATCTTTGTTACTTTTGAAATCTATGTTTTAATAATAAAACTGTCCACTAGAATGATGTGACCTTCTCAAGTCAAACTGATTCCTTAAATACAATCACACACCTATCTAAGTTAGGTTATTTAGATTATTATAACCATGAGTAATATGTTTGCAATAGAGAATTAACACATGGACACTTGACACAGATAGCAGCGAATACCTCCCTAGAAAAAAGAATTGCTACAACAAGAATAGAGAAATCACCAAGTGGTAAGACATTGTAGAGAGCTCTGCTTCCTTGTGAGTGAGGAATGAAGTTTATGCTTTATATTATATAAAAGTGGCTTTATAAGCCCGCCTCCCCCCTCCTCCCCCCTGCAGCTTGTTTTAGCACTAGCAATATTTGTCATGTGACCTATTTGACATAATCCAAACCTACCCTGGATTTTTGAGGTCAAGCCATAAGAAACTCAAGCACAAGAAAATGTTAAACCATGACAAAAGATAGAGAAAAAAGATAACATTTTTGAGTTGAGGCCAAAAAAAATAAAAAAAATTAATCCCTTTTAAAAAAATACATAATCCACACGCTCCGAGTAAATTGAAAATATTGGAAGGAAAAAAAACACAGAAAGTAAATCAAGTAAACCACTACTTGATTTGGATTCTAGTATGAATTGCTTAATCGGGCACCTAAACAGATGAGGGATGCTCATACTAATATTAAACTTGATAAAAGATCATGTGAATAAAGTTCGAACGAAGATTGAAAGAAGTCCTTGAGAGGTTCAGTACTTTTTTCATTAGATATAAGTCTTATCTTTTGAACTTTCAGAATCTATATTTCAGTAATAAACTAGCGGTCCATTAAAAAGAGCATGTGACCTCTTCATTGTCTTTGAATCTAAACTCTATTGGAAAGATCACAAAGATGACTTGGCTAGGGTTAGAGATCTAGAGTTATACTTTGAGAGAGAAAAGGACGATTAGAGAAATTTTGGATAGAGGGTTTAAATTTCTATAAGAAGAAACTAGCAAGCAACAAATGGAAGGTCACAGACGGGAGACTAGTATTGATTGTTGAGGGTACATTCTGAGTTAGCAGGGGCGTCACGACTTATGAATCTATACTGCATCTGCAAGCTTTTTATCCCTTATTTTGATTTTTTTCTTTACTTTATTTTTCTATCCAGCTCACATGATTCTTTTTAGGCTATTTTTAGTACTTTTTCAAATTTTACTATGGCTTTGTAAGAATGAAAATTGTTACAAATATGCATAGATATATTTGTACCCGGGTCCCCATATCTTTAAGTTCTCTTAAATGATTCCCTCTATGTTAAAAATTATTAACTTAAATCCAAGTTAACTAAATCTCATTAACCTTGCATTTTTTCAGCACCTCTTTCCTAGATATTTTTCCCAGAAAATCTTCTTTCTCCCTATCCTTTGCTTGCTAGAAGTCTTTATTACAATCAGTTATAGGTGATACATGTAACTATCTAAGGAAAATGAGAGAAAAATTATCAAGATTAATGTACTTTAGTTAAAATAGAATTAACTATTTTTAAATATGGAAATGATCCTTCTTTTTTAGGTATCATGCATTTTTAATTCATCTCATTGACCATCCAACAAACAATTGGCTTCTTTCGTTGACACCATTAGTTGATTAGCTTGTTTATGTTCTCAGATTGACAAATTAACAGTATTCTAACATAAAACTACATAACGAACTAAACTATCATGCCATATACAAGGTCCAAGCATGTGTACGATTTCAATAAATGCTAACACACTAGCTCGAATTTTATAAGCTGTTTGGAATTGGGTGACGATAAACTTTGCGTAAGGTGGACAAGCAATAGTAGGTTATTCCCCCTTTTGGGAATCACCTAACAACGCCATTCGATGATTGTCGTGTGGCCAAATAAGAGTAAATCATCTTAAAGTTTGGTTGTACCTTTACTCTATTCCTTATTTACCTAATTATCAAAATAATAGATTTTAATTTGATTGCACACAACGTTAACTAGTCCCGATATTTCTATATTGTATGACTAGTTGTTTCGACAAAGAATCCTGTGTCGGTTCATGAAAGGGACTAGTTGTCGGTTCATGAAAGGGACTAGTCTCCATGCTCAATCATCTGAGAGGCTCAACTTCACCCCTAGCATACAATTTAGAAATCATAGAGTAGTAGACCATTTGCTCTCATGAATATTCGACAATGTTGTCAACTTGTCATATCTCAACAATCCACATCCCTTATGGTAGCAAGTTATCACCCTTTTGCACTATCCATCAACTAAGACAATAATAAATCTTCCGTGTTGATCACATCAAACATTCAATATTCTAATCACTAAGGTCTAGAGATGCATGTGCAATTGATTAGGAGAAAATATAGGATATATCGCACAATTTACAATCTAACTAATACAGTGAGAAGTCATATATAATCACTAAATAAATCGGTTGGAAGCAGTTGGTGAAGGTTTGAAATCCAATTAGTATTAGAGTTGAATTTGACCCTCACAATTATTCACAAATTTGGGTTTCAGTTTGACCGGTGTAAAATTAAATATGCAATGTGTATATACTGCAAAAAGTGGTTCAACACATTTTTAAGTGTTCATATGAATACGTGGGTAAAGTTTCAAACATATACCTATTCATATGTGGAAGTTACGAGATTAAACGATAACTCAACAACACATACGAGGTAAGCGCACCTCACAATCGACTTGGCCATTGAGCCGAGTCGATTATGCTGAATATGTTGCGTCTGACTTGGGGTCTCAAAGTCAATGTGGCTGTTAGCCCAAGTTATCTTAGTGACAAATTTTCAGATTTTTCTAGGTTTTGCTTGCGAAGGGTTTTCAACGCTGATCTTTTTAGAATTGTTCTCCTATTCTTATAGGGTCACAAGAAGAGTTTCAACACCAGACTTATGGAGTCTATCGTAGATATTAGCACTTAGGTTTTCTTGTTGATTTAATATGAATAAAGTCAAGATTTTTACGTTGATTTTCCGATGAATTCAATTTAAGGTCAATTTAATCTAAACTAATCTAGCAAACACGATTTATTACAAATTTACTGACCATAATTACATCGTTAGAGCTTCTAATGTCATCAACATTACATCTATTGATGTTGAAATTAGGTATCTATGATTTGTGACTACATCATTAGGAATTAACATAAAATTAATATATGAAGTAGAAGACTCTAGAAATAGATGTACAAATATTGTGACTTATGTATGCACAACAAAAATTTGGAATCTAGAAACAAAGCAAAGCTAGGGATTTGCCTAATTGACTATTTATCAAATCTTTGCTGCTATGGCGAGATGAACCAGTGGAATACTGTGCTCTTCATGCGATGGATTAATGGCAAGATGAAGCAGTGGAATGCAAATAGTTGTTTGGGGGTGAGTTGTGCATAAAGATTATTTATTGATTCTTAAAATTCAATTTAATTTAATTAGATGTTAGTCCCTCAAATCTTTAATAATTGTATAGTACTCCCTTAATTTGTTGAAATTGCTCATACGTCTCTCAGAACCTAAGAGGTCTTGCAATTTGGTCTCTCATTGACCCCAAAAACCCACTATTTCTAACCCACCACTTGCATAATCAGTCTTAACTCACAATACTCCGTTTTGAAAATCATTTTTTATATTTAAACAGTTGAATATTAATAGAAAGTTAATGCATACTTACTTGGGTGGATATTTAAAATACATTCTAACATTTTTAACATGCTATGGTATTTGATATTTCTTCTTGTGACATGATTTTTAACTTGTCCCGGTACCTTTCATGTTTTATTCCTAATTTATCTTAATAGAGAGTGTAAATTATATAAAGTTGCTACACGTGTTTATGTTGAATATATCTTGACCATGGAGTAATTTTTGAAATTGGGAGTATATGTTTCTTAAAATTTCCTTTGAATCTGTTTATATATACTCCTTGAGTACTTTCTATGTATTAATATTTGAGAATGTAGTTTTTTGTCAATTTTTTTCTCAGGTAGAATAGTTATTGGGTTATACGGACAGGTGGTTCCGAAGACCGTGGGTACGTTCTCGTACTACTACTGTTTTGGCAAATTCATAATGATACAAGTTCTGATGGTTTAATATAAGTAATGATATTAATAATCAGATGGCAAACATGATTATATAGGCGTCGGTGGTAGGTGTTCATGTTTCTTGATTATCATCACTATATTTTTATTGTTTGGAGATAGTGACATTAATAATGACAAACGGTTACTCTTTTTAATTCTCATATCAAGAAGAAATTTAACAATGCTGACTATTCATGATCAAGGAAGAACTCATTTTACTACATGAGTCTATTATGCTAGCTTCTCTACGCATGAGGTCCTTGTTCCAATCATTGGCCATGATAGATAAGGTAACTTGTACAACCTCCAAATTTCATTCAATCACCTTTTCTCTTTTCTATATTGTTTAGGGCATTAGAATCATTATGATTGTAGAAAGTCAATCTTGGATGTAACAAGATGGAGATTTAGACTCCCTAAGAGTAACTAGTTTAATTCTTTACTCGCTTGAACATAATGGCAGATCTTCGCCCAATATTTTAACTGTTACACAATATGCTTGCATTTCATTTGGCCAAAACATTGGTTTAGTTTGATATCTAATGTTTGTTGAGAGAGTAGTTGTTTACTATTGTTTAGTCCCACATAGGTTGGAACAAACTTCTTTGTTTCTTTAGACACTATAAATAATATCCTAGAGAGAGCTAATAAACTCACTAGGGTTTTTCCTAATTACACGGTATCAGACACACCCTCTTTTTTTCTAATTTTCTAAACCCTAGCCGTCACCATCCACAACCAAAACCTACCTGACACTATTCATCCGTCCAGAACTGTTCATTAGACACTATTCATCCGACGATACTGTTCATCCATTGGTAAAAAAAGTTAAGCTAATCAGATAGCTTATCAACTAGATCTTCATAGATCTTCAACTAATTATTTAGCTTATCAACTAAATCTTAATCTTCAGGTAATCATTTAGCTTATAAATTAGATCTTTAGTTAATCATTTAGCTTACCAATTAGATCTTTATAGATTTTCAGCTAATTATTTAGCTCTCTGTTACGATCAGTTGTTAACAATCTCTTTGAGATAAATGATAAGTCGTTTTTTACAGGATGATTTTACTTATTGAACTAATTACTTGTGTTGATTAGTTAATGATTTGAATATTAAAAATTAACTTGTTGTTAAGTAAGGTTAATAGTTTATCTCTGGGAGATTAGTAGTTAAATGATCTTATTTGTTGTATTGACGACATCCTCCAGTAAGTCTGGTTACTGGTATTTGGATTGATGAGATGAAGACTCATACGGAGGTGCTCTCTAGCAGGATCACCAACCAAAAATTGAATGAGTCCAATTACCTATTTTGAAAGCAACTGTTTCGAGTTTATATTTCAGGACAGGAAAAGAATCATCTTACAGATGACCCTCCTATACCAGTTACTACCTCTTGGAAATAGGATGACACTAGTCTACTTCATTAAATTTGGATGGCTAGCAATTCACTCTAATACAGTGAAACAGGTGTGGAAGTTCTTGGAACAATTGTATTCAGGCCGGGAACATGCTAATCGGGCATCTGATGTTATTCAGGAGTTATTTCGGAGCAGGATGGATGAGCATAGTTAGACTTTTGAGGAGCATTATAACAACTTTAATCGCCTTGCAGAGTAGCCGAGACGGATTTTTTTCATTACGGGAGATATTCAGAAGATGCAAGATCAGTGGGATCAACCGATTGTATTCACCTTTCTTGGTTCTCTTTCACAGTTTTTTAATTCAATAAGATCATAAGTTATTGGGAGCTTTGCTATACGTTCTTTAACAGAGTCATTACTTTTTGAGATTAGTAGTACCAGTTGCGCTAGCAAGTACTACCGCTGAATCTGCAAACAGGTCTGCTCTCGCCACACAGAGTAGACAGACAACTAGTCGAGCTGGTGGTCATGGTGGAGGCCGCTTTGGTAGACGTGGAGTATGTTTTGGTGTACGTGGAGGACGAGTGGTAGTTCACGAGGAGCTACATGAGATGGTTTATCTGGTCTATCTGTTGTCATTGTAAGAAACCGGGTCATATGAAATTTCATTGTCCTTAGCTACAAGGAAAACAACCCCAGGGTGTACATGTGACTACACAGGAGAGTCCCATGAATGAAGACACCTGCCGTCAGTTTGAGTGGTTTCAGCTCCAGGTATTTTAGCAATTGAATACTCAATCCTCTACTACTACGACTACGCTTGCCCAGACAGAGAAACCCACTGCTTGCCTTACATCGTCATCGTCTCATACTTAGGTTATAAATTCAGGAGCAACTGATCATATCACTGGGAACCGAGGTATATTTCCTTCCTGTACACCTATCACCTTCTTTCCTTCAGTAGTATTGGCTAATGGATCCACCACACCTGCTATATCTTTCTCGTTTTCTATTTAATCTCCTATCTGTCAGTAGAATTACTAAAGTATTAAACTACATGGTATAATTTTTTTCTACACATTGTATTTTTCAGGCACTTGGGACGAGGAAGACGATTGACACTGGACGTGAGCAGAACGACTTGTACGAATTGAACTTTGCCCCTTCCTAGGTGGCATGTATTAGCTACACATCATCCTTTGAAGCACATTGTTGGCTTGGTCATCCCCTCTTTCAATTCTTAAACCTTTGATTTCAGATTTAAATCATGTCGAGTCTTTAGAGTGTGAGTTATGTCAACTCGAAAAACACCAATGGGTGTCTATCTCGAGTCGCGTCAATAAACGAGTCATAGCCCTTTTGATTTAGTACATTCCGACATATTAGGTCCTTGTTCTGTTCCGTCCAAACTCGTTTTCAAATATTTTGTTAGTTTTGTGGATAATTTTTTTCGCATGACTTGGATTTACCTACTTAAAAGTCGTTTGAAGTGTTTTTTGTTTTTAAAGTTTTCTGTGCTGAGGTTAAAAATCATTTTTACAGTACCATCAAAACTTTAAGAACAGATAACACTAAGGAATATTTTGAAAACGCTTTTATAAAATATTTGGAAGAAAATGAAATTTTACATTAGTCTTCTTGCACTTACGCACCCCAATAAAATGGGGTTGCTGAGCGCAAAAATAGACACTTGCTAGAAATTGCTAGGAGCTTGTTATTCCATCGTCAAGTTTCAAAATATTTTTAGGACGATGCCATTTTTGACAGCCTTATGTAATGCGGTGGGTGCTAGAAAAGAAACATGTATCTAGTATATATATTGATGTGATTAAAGATATGTTTGATAGAGTAACAACAAGAATAAAAAGTAATGAATGAGAGATTAAACCATTTCTTATTACTATAGGTTTACACTAAGGATCAGCTTTAAGTCCTTATCTTTTTGGATTAGTCATGGACCAACTTACTAAGTACATTAAGGACGAAATTTTATTGTGTATGTTGTTTGTCGATGATATAATGTTAGTTGATGAAACTAGAAGAGACGTTATTTCTAAAGTAGAAAAATTAAGATAAGCTCTTGAATCTAAAGGTTGTAGAATTAGTAGAACAAAAACATAATATATAGTGTATTTTTACTAAAACTAGGAAAGGAAGAGAGCATATGGTACATATTAATAGCCAAGAAATACATAAAATTAATTATTTCGCTATTTAGGATCAATCATGGGGTATGATGGTGAGATAGAGGATGATGTTTTGCATCGAATTAAATCAGGATGGTTGAAATAGAGGAGTGTTTTGGGAGTCTTATGTGATCGTCGAATATCAATGAAACTAAAGGGAAAATTATATAAGACGGTTATAAAACCAACTATGCTTTATGGGTCAGAGTGTTGGACAATAAAAATAACATGTTCAAAAAATGAGTGCAGAAAAAATGAGGATGTTGCGATGGTCTTATGAGTATACACTAAAAGATAGGATAAGAAATGAGTGCATCCGTAGTAAATTAGAGGTTGCTCCCGTTGAGGATAAAATAAGATAATAGATTAAGATGGTTTGATCACGTATAACAGAGATCGCTTAGTGCCCCGATTAGGAAAAACAATAATATTATAGTTAATGGGGTTAGGAGATCTAGTGGTAGACCTAGAATGATTTAGTTAGAAGCAATTAAGAAGAATATGATTATGATTAACTTAATGGAGAAGATGGTCCATAACAGAATGGAATGGAAGAATTTGATTCATGTGGCTGACCCGAAACATTTAGGATAAATGCTTGATTGTTGTTACCATTTTGACAGTATCTGATCAATAGACTATCCTCATGTATCTTACAGAATAAAACCCCGATCTCCCTTTTATATCCGGCTGAAGATGCTTTTCAATTAACTCCTAAGATTTTTAAATCTCCGTGCTTTATTCACAATCATAGTCCTCAACAGACGATTTATATTTAAGATCTCTTAAGGGTATTTTTCTTGGAAATTCTAGGACTCAAAAAGGATACATATGTTACTATCCATTCTTGAATCGATATATTATTTCAGCTGATATTACGTTCTTTAAAAACAAACCAGGACACGTTGTCTATGATAAATTCTTAGACATTCCCGATGATTATTACTATCTTCTTGTTTGAAAAACCATTATAATTGTTCCTTCAAAGGCTGTTGTACAGACTAATCTACCATCCAAATTTGCGGAACCAGTTTACGTTTATACAGATATACTGTTTCACAACCTGAGCTATCGTCTCAATCCACCCAAGAGCCTGATATACTAACAAGTAACAAGTCAAAATATGCTCGTACAGCCAAGTACTCAGGCTACTAACCATCTTCATATTACCCTCCGAAAGGATAAGAGATCTTGTTCTCGAAATTCTCGGTATCTTCTTACACACTATGTCTCTTACACTTCGTTAACTCCACCATATTACTCGTTCATATCTTCTTTGGATTCTCACACAGTTTCCAAGAATTTGTCAGAAGCTCTTCTAACCCAGGTTAGACAACGATAATGCAAGAAGAAATGATGGTCTTAGAAAGAAATGAGACTAGAGATCTGGTTTTT